TGCACCCTGGGCAACGTATACTCATACGGCAAAAGTGTCTATCAATCGGTAGTTGACTTCTGACTATATGTCATATTCAACTACTTCCACAGTACTCACCTCACCATTTTTCCACCTTTGTGTCTGTCTCTTTTACATCTTCAAAACACTCTTCTATTCGCCCCCCCCCCTCCTCCTCTCGACTTTTTCACTTTGATGTTCCTCCTCCTCCTCTGTGAAGCCTGAAGTCAACTAAAGGGCTAATGATGATATAGATATTGCTATTAGTGAGGTTTAGGTAGATACAATTCCACTTAATTTCCACCTGCCCTTTAACTTAGAGACTTCCCAATTGCTCTAAATATTGGAATTTGATTCATTACGAAGTCTTTGTTAATTTTAAACAAAGCGTAACTTGTAATTAGTTCATTAAGAGAGAGGAGCCGTAAACACAATTGCTTCATCTGCATGATTGTGCTTACTGGAATATTCCACGCATTTGGATGTTATGGTGTGGCTTGCACTCCTGTTATGTTTCTCTCAAATCTGAATAGTAAACTATGTATATGCAAGGTTTCTCTTCGAATCGGATTGAAATTTAGCTGCCCTCTATTCAACTTCAAAAGTTTTTTTGGAAAAACGGCCAGTTGTCCTTTTATAAAGCAACAACATCTGGGACCACAGCGAGTGGACTTTTAGACCAATCGGTGATTTGTTTATTTAACAAAATAAATTTAAGTATATCGGACCGTTTATGTTTTGAATGATTGATTGCTTGTTTAGCCAATCGACGTGGGCGGGGAAATCAAATCGATTCAATAATTCTGTGCACAAGAGGGCTACAGATTGTGATTTATCCTCGAATGCAATTTGGATTTTGGGTTTTCTGAGACAATTTTACATCATTAGAGAAGTTAAAGACTGTTTGCACAATCAAATAGACTATTTTATGCAAGTTGTAGGTCCTTGAACCACTAATTTGATTTCGAGATTAGAGAGGGAGAGAGTTTCATAACTAACAAATGCAATGACTTGTTTATGACCTAAGAGTTGGGCAATTAAGACGGGTTTTTGGGAGTTAACTGAATTAATGCTTCCATTTGTTCTTCAACGAAAAACATGCTTATTCTTTAATCTGTGGCAAGGAACGTCCCTATGAGACTATGACTTCAGGTAATATATATATATATATATATATATATGCAAATATGCCTTTTAGTATAATCTCGCTTTATTCATATCCAAAAAAACAATGCAGGAAATCGGATGTAAATAATCACGTCAAATGGCATCGACTTCAGCCAGTCAATGAAAAAAGTTAAGCGGATCAGGGAGGTTCGCTAGCCAAAGCGCTAGTCTCCATTTCGCAACGGTCATCGTGTCTGTCTAGTTAAGTGGGTTAAGTTGAAGAGCTCTTAGCTGCACGGCAAATGTCTGAATGCCATCGAGTAGTTACTTGTTCTCAGTCAACTCTTATCCATTAAGGCCATGGAAATGACCGATAGGTTGGTGGAAGTATCCGTCAGCTATAATTTTTTCCCCTATTCCGCATGAATATGAATAGGTGATTATGCTATGGAGTAGGGAATTTAACTTGTCAATGGAAAATCGGAACCAGCGAAGTACACAAAGTGCATGGATAAAACTAATTGATGACATGTTAACGTCTTGGCAACGTACTTAAGGTGGGGCCTCACGAGATTTCCGATCGTATTTTTATAAGTCCGCACTTAATCATCTGAGTAATATTTTTTAATATTTATTGCAATTAACAATAAGGGACTTTGATGTACGGCCTTTGGGAGAGATGAAAGAGGCAAATTTGGGGCTGCGAGGGGAGAGGAGATCCGTCTTAAAATCAATATCTTCAATTAAATCTATCTGGGATTAAGGTCTCCTTAGCTTATTTTGATTTCTTCATTTCATTCTGCCTTTAAGAGTGCTTGATTACATCTTCTTGAAGGTAGATAATTGTGGTACATCCCACTGCGACTCACTCAAGGCCCACTGCTCAATATCAACGTTGTCCAAAGTAGTTTTTTTCAAAGCTTTCACATTTTAGAAAGAATCAGCATACTTCATGGAAAAGTTATCACTTTTGTTTGTTGGGCAGGTGGAAGCCCACTTAAAAATCCGTAAAAAAGAGAGCTCGAAAACTGTCATGGGCGTTTGGTAATTTCAAATTTTGTAACTACTCAGCTGTCCACTAATGTCTGTATGACTCGAGATCTGGTTCTGTTGATATGGCATATCCGTCCTCACGATATCACTTGGACTCAGATAGAGAGAAGAGAAGACCAGTCAAATGCACAGTTACTCCAAATTCGTCTTACTAACCTTTTAAAACGACCACACGAAGGAGAAGAGCACAAGTCACCGTCGCATTGATGATTGAGATTGGGCTGGATTAGTTGTCCAAGTGTTCGAGGGGCCAATTGCACGCATATTAATTTGACAAACACAGCCTCGGTTAGTATTCCTCGTCATTCGAGGGTACATGAATGCTCTGGCTTCATCACTCTTCTGTATTGATCTTCTCTCTTGGAATTATACACGGATTATACTTAGCTAGCTGTTTCAAGAAGAGATATCTCCTGTGGTCCTAATATCAGAGTTTGACTTTCATGAAATCACCTGCTTTGGCATTTTAAAGTCCCAGTTCGCCTGACTTCCATTCAAATGTGTGCTAGTCGAAATATTTGGAGAACTTTTAAGAAGGTGCCCGTGGGGGGGGGGGTGAATGGCTGCATTCCTAACAATTAAATACCTTTTTTAATTGCTTTTTTGAATTGCAGTATGTAGTCATGGATTTAAACAAAAACAAAAGCCGAGCAGAAGCTGCATCCTTTGCAGTTTCCTCGATCATTTCATAGATCAATTTTTACTTTGAGATAAGGAAATTAATAGGCTTCTTGCTCCCTTCCTTATGCCTTTATTTTTTGCATTTTTTAATAAAATTAGCTTAACTTATCACTACTTAATTCATACCCATGAATGTGACAGCCGAAAATGCTTGTTTGCAGGTGCAGGCAAATTGTTCATTCAATTTTTTTAAAAATAATATTATATTACCGCAATGTAACTCTTAAATTGCGAATTTTAATTGAATAAAAGCACATAGAGAAGGTCTATAACTACCAAATATCGCTTTGTTTCATATTTGTTTTAGAAAATTTTGAAATCTACCCACACGGGAGTTTGCAATTTAACGGATTACATCGATTTAAAAATGGATGAGGAAGAATCACATTCACAGACTATTAACCTATTAAAGACATCGATTAGTTGGCACTTGAGTCTATTCAATTTCTGTGATCGAATTTTTCAACCTCTCACTGAACTTCGACCAGATATAGTTCCGCAAGATGCCTAAAAGAAATCAGATCTGCTTTCTGTCAATCCGGTGATCCTTTCAACTGAAAAAAACAATAAATAAATATGTAAATCTATTTTCTTATTTCATTTTGTACCGACTGTCTTGATCTCACCCCCCCCCCCCCCCTAATCTACGTCCCAGTGTCCATCTCAATTTATGTGATTATATATTATCTTTACAAATCTTATTTTGAATTAGTAACACCTATATGTGAGTCGAATTTGCCATTTATGTATTATTTATTCATCCAAATGATTAAGTTAAAATTAAAGCTCGAATAAACGGCAAATCTTTATTGGCTAGTTAGGAAATTGTGTTAAAAAATAAATAGTTTCAGTAAACAATGGAACTAAAGAGATTAAAAATTTATTAAAATTATTGGGGTAATGAGGGAGCGGAATTCCATTCAAATTTAGCTTTCCTAAATGAGCTTGAAGGTTTTTATTGACGATAATGAGAAATAACGGAAAGAGGAATAAAGAGATTTAAAAAAGCAGAAGACAGGTGATGAAAAAGTCGGTTGGAACAAATTGTGGAGGTTGAAATGAAACAAGAGCTTTTAAAGCTGGTTGAGTTAAGTTTTATCTGGGTGTTTATAGGTGTCATAATTTCTTTAAAACAATTAGAATGCCGAGAAACAGGATTCATAATTTTCTAGAATGAGCAAGTTACGCAGGTTAACTAATATCGCTCATGGCTGAAAGACAATGTTGCCACCCGAGGTATTTTGATCTCTTAGCATCAATAAAATTGAATTTTTTATTTATAAAAGATCTGGCCAACTTTTTGAATATCTATCTCTTGCTCTCTCTCCCTCACTTTCGAAGCTGAATCAATTGTGGCCTACTGAGCAGTGATTTGATAAACACAGACTTTCTAGTATTTAAGACTCTTTGATTCTTGAAATTATTAAGAAATCAAAGTTTACTGCAATGAAGTATTTATGTTTGATTTTATCATGTCAAAAATTGAGTTCTGAGTCAAGTGAATTTATTTTTTGCCGAGTTACTTTCATTTCTTGAAAAAGAAATAATTAGGGTGAACTAAAGGGAGGCGTAAGCGTTTAGAGACGTCTGCATTCAAGTAATTCGTTGAAAATCGCAAAGTCTTGGTGGAACATAAAGCGCCTGTTTAATGATACATTAATTCAGCAAAATATAAGCCAGAGGTCAGTAATACGTATAATTATGTCGCTTCAATCTTAATTTGTCAGTCAATTAAGATTTATAAAGTATACGTAATAATTATTAGATGAGTTTTTCCAAAATATTGGTTCTATCCACACAGAGTACCGGAGAGGAGGGGGGGAGGGGGGGTTCCGCTTGTTGGGGTGGGTGGTTGTTTGGTTCCAAAAATAGTTTTATTAAATGAAATTTTGCGTTTAACCGCCCTGGGCGGATTTTCGGAAAACCCCGGTGTTAATCATTGACTGAAGCTGGATAGTTGGTGGTCGCCTTACATTCAAGATTAACAATTAAACATTTTTATTCGTAAATAACTCCTATCTTAACAACTATAGGATTAGACATTAGGATAGAAATAATTTCTGTCTTTATATGTGATAATGCGTATAAGAATATGTAATTAATTGCGTCTAAACCAATTATTGGAAGAGTAAGTGCTGAGGATTTCCCATGCATATTGTGAAGGTTATTGAATGAATAAATGATAATAAGGTAACCTTTATGTAAAAAGTGTTGTATAAGTTACAAAAAACAGAGCACTTTAAGGAAAGCGAAGCCAATTTTAACTTAATTGATAAATGCCAATATCCAATCGAACAAAAGCGATTAACAATTATTAACACATCACGAAGTATGCTTAAGGTATTCTATGACAATGCATATTTGATATTACAGAAAGGGTTATAATTCATTTTCTTTGATCAAACTTACAACTGACATAATACGCCAATGAAAATCGAGGAGGTTCTTTTGTAAAGTTGGTGTTGAGCCGAACGTGCTGCCGACGTTTTTGAGGTGGTGCGTTTTTCAGCATATTTTACATAATGTTTTAAGAAATGATACTCACGACCCCTTATCTGACAATCCATTATAATATTTTTATAGAGTTGATTTCTGAGCTCTAATCCTGCAAAATTACATTTGTGATTCTTTATTTTAGGCGTCTTTCGTTAAGTGTTGCCAGATTATTGCTGAAACCAGTGCTCCTATGTTTAGGTGAACTTTAAGACTGCAATATGCTTGCCATTTTATCCGTTTGTCTACCGAAACGCGGTACCTTTCTCTGCACAAATTCACTTCAAAACTGTCTTAAATTATGTCGTTATACTCCTCGGACATTTATCCGCACACTGGCTCCTATTTCTTCTGCTCTCCAGAAGACTCAACAGATGCATACGCACGTCTCAGTTGATCCGGATCCTCTGAAGTTCAAACGAGACGTGAGTAAAATATGGCTAAACAAATTCCATTTCTATAAACCCCACTGAAAATATACAAGTTATCTGAACAGAAATCCACAGATGCTATGATCGTGCGTCGATTGCTTGGTTACATCTGGCCGAAAGAAAACCCCGCCATTCGTCGACGAGTTGTCACTGCATTTTGCCTCTTGTTGGCTTCTAAATTCACAAATATTGCTGTTCCCTTCGTCTTCAAATATGGGGTTGATGTCCTTTCTGGTGATACTCCAGTTCTCATTTCCGATTGTTCTCCTGTCTCCATGGCTGTTATTACTATGCTCACTTGTGAGTTCTATTCTCTCATATTTTTTATAAACGAATATGAAATCAAATTGGCCGAAAAGTGGCTTTCATTCCCGGTAGGTTTAAATCTCTCTGGATATTAAATTTTAGTTTTTCCGCTTTTGTTCTTAAAATTGTGCTTAGTTTCCGCATTCACTGACCAGGTGCCACCTGTTAATTATTCTTAGTTATTCTTTTAGACCTAGTTATTCTTTTCTAACTAGGTCAGGTCCTTGTGTTCTTTTTTATTGTGTTCAATTCACAAATAAAATGCATCTTGCTAGTCATTGCGTCAGTCTTTGAGGTCTCTTTTTTTGAAGTAAAATTCAAAATTCGTACGTTTGTGAAAAACTCCATTTTCTAATTTTCGATCAATGTCTGTTGAAGTGTCCATAGTAGAATTATTGAATGTGTTGAAATTTATTCCAAACCTGCAGTTGAATTTTCTCAGTTCTTTAGTGCATTCAGAACTCTTTGTAGGAGTTCACGTGGTGCATAATAACTATTAATTGTTACCGATTCAGTTTCTCTTTGTGTTAGGAAAAGATTATGTGAAAGTTAGCGGGAGGGGTAACTCAGGTGTTGTTTCTCATTGGGTCCAGTTCATTTGAATTGCAGAGTCTAGATTGTTCAATTGCAATGGAGTTTATTTTGATTTCAGTAAGAACTGAACATTTGTTTGAGAATAGAATTTAGAAAATAATTTCCCACTGACAAATTTCCAAAGTAAGATAAGGAAAATAAAAGCTGAAGTGGATGATGGATGAATAACCCGCAGCATATGAGTTTCACCTTCTATAATGAATGCTGATTGGTTGGATTGAACACTATGTTGTGAGAGGGGTATGTATATTGAATCCCATTTTCGCCTTCTCTCTCTCCAGATGGTGCTGTGCGAACTGCATCCTCGGGATTCAAGGAGCTTCAGAATGCGACTTTTGCGCGAGCGGCACACTCCTCAATTAGGAAGGTCGGCGTTTCGGTGTTTAATCATGTCCTCACCCTAGACTTATCCTACCACCTTGACAGACGCACTGGCGCAGTTGGTAAAGCCATCGATCGAGGAGCGCGCGCCATCCAATTTGTTCTCACCGCACTCGTTTTCAATCTCTTTCCCACCCTCCTTGAAGTCTGTCTTGTCACTGGCATTCTGGTAAGTCTCGGTTTTTTTACATATGTCTTGCATGAAATCGAGTTCCTTCCTAGTCTTGCTATATTATTCAAGCCAAATATGAGGAGGAGTGCTAATTTTTCATTTTAGCCATTGTTGGCCCGTTTCTGCAAAGATTTTCTTTATACTTTACCAGCTAAATTTTTATTGTTGTGATCGGTCAGGCATCGCGCCCATGATATCCGATTTGGGTGGTATTTTCTACTACTGCCTTCTCGTCAAATTTCTTTTTTTAAAGTCCACTGTAAAAGTTTTATAATTTACACCTCGTCCTAACTAATGCTAAATTAATGCTTACTGTGGTGTTTATTGCCTTGTTAAAGCTAAATTTACCAGAACATTTTACGTAGTTCCATATTTTCTCGGCAACTTTTGTTGCATTTTTTATTTTCTTTGTTGAAATTTTGGTTTTAATGGGCATTATATGCATCAGGAGAGTTGGAAGTAAGCTTGTCACCTTGCTTGACCATGGGGGAACTCGAATCGAGGCTCATATGTCCATAGGCTAGATCAGATTTCAGAGTCCTAGGTGGTTGCTGCTATAACTTGTGGACTTGAGGCGATCATTATCCCTTATTAATATGGCGTGAATTGGCGCAGGTCTATTTAGCTCATGATTCCTACTGCATGCTTTGGTTAATTTCCACTTCAACTGAGGACAAATGTGTCGTTTTTTTTAATTTACTGCTTTGTAAGATACGCGATTCCTTTTATTACCCTTGTTAGATCACTGTGTGTATACGTATGATCCTGATTCATGTGTAATTTCTTTGTCAAGCTGGTCATTTAATTTCAGTGCTATAATTGGCCATGTGAAACTCCAAATAAACTAAAAGATTTCTGTCAACCATCCTAATCACTGTTTTGATGCTTCCTACACTTTATGATTCCATCCAATTACAATCAACGTCTCTAGCAATAATCATTGGCTGTTATCGGTATCAAGTATATTCAAGCTTTCGTCTTTATGGGTATAAGTTGAAATCCATTAATATACACCAATTGAACCAATCATTTGGCTTTCTGTAGGGACAGAATGTGATTGGTCAGACAATGGACCAATCGATAAATGATGTGACAGCGAGTCAATGATATGAAGTCAAAATTACACATCTTGCACACGGTGAAGCTTTGCTTCGCCCTCCATTCACTTATTTGAATAAATTTGTTTTTTTGCTCTAGTTCCAAAAGTACGGATTGGAGTGCAGTGCCGTCGCCCTCGCCTGCATTGGTGTATATACAACCTTCACTTTTGCTGTCACCCGATGGCGTACTGAGTTCCGTCGTGAGATGAACAGAGCCGATGGACTTGCTGGTAGTCATGCCACAGATGCTATGATCAACTATGAAACTGTCAAAGTAGGCCTTTTTGCCTATTTCTTGATTTTTATGTTCATATTAGATTCAAATTAAGTGCATGGGCATTGGATTAAGTTGATGAGGTTATTGTCTTTTTTATATCAAATGACAAGCGTTGTGCTAGTTATCATTGGCTCTTTAATTGATTTCGGGCTTCAGAGAAAGGAGGAGGAGGAACATCAAAGTCACAAAAAGTGGAGAGGGGGGACAGAAGAGTGATATACAGGTGTAATATAAACAGACCCAAAGGTAGAGGGAAAGGCTAGATGAGCACTGCGGAAGGGGTCGAATATGAAAAACAGTCAGGCCATGGTGGTTTAAAGTCAGAAGTCAACTACTGGTTTATAGACTTTTGTCGTATGGGTATACGTTGCCCAGGGTGCAGTTAAGCTCCATGTATGCTTAGTTTTAGTGTCATAAACCTGAGTATCCGTAAATTATTTTATTTTCGTACAATTTTGGTGGACTTGTTGAAGGTTTACCACCAATTTATGGTATTCACTATAAAGAATTGACCACTTTGATTAAACTGTTATTGTTAAAACCCTTGAATCTACTTAACTGAAGTTGGGACGAAATTGTACTTATTTACAAAAGAAAGAAAACACCTTCACAGATTGGGAGTATACACTCAACCCACATGCCCTCTATGTAACCTACAGGAGGAAATGGAGAAGACCACCTGATTCGGTGTCCAGCTCTAAAAACAACGACGGAAAGCCAGAGATACTGGGAAGCAAGAAGTCAGCTAATGAACTGCTATTAATTGACTGCTATATATGTACCCCCCACCCTTGGGGGAAGCTGAATTCAAAGTTTAAGGGCTAATGACAAATATCACAAAACCTGCCATTTGAAATAAATACTTATTTACAATGTAACTACCACAGTATAAGCCGCCTTTTCAAATCGCTGAATTGCCCCTATTTCAGTACTTTGGTAACGAAGCTCACGAGACTGCCACCTACGACGAACTTCAGAAGCGCTACGAAAAAGCCAGCATCAAGACCTCTACCAGTCTGGCAGCCCTCAATTTCGGTCAGGTGGCCATCTTCTCAGCAGGTCTCGCGGCTACAATGGCTCTGGTGGCCGGACACATTGATCCAGAGGCCATTATGGCCGTAAAGAACGCTGCCACCGCTACCACATCGGGTTTAACTGTGGGCGACTTGGTGCTGGTAAACGGGCTCCTCTTTCAGCTCTCAATGCCGCTTAACTTCCTAGGTGGAATCTACCGGGAGGTGAGGCAGTCCCTTGTGGATATGACCACCATGTTCAAGCTGCTTGAAATTAAACCTATCATTCAGGTGAGAAATCTTGAATTTACTGGAAGTTGGGTAGTCTCCTAAAGGTAGGCAGAGGTGTATATGCTCAATCCGCTTCAGAATCTATTTTAGAGAGATTCGATGCGCCTATTTAGTGAGTTTCGGGAAGTCTTGGCTGTTATTTGCAATTTCTCTAGGCACGAATGGATATAATATTCAGGTCATTAGGGGGCAGAAGACCTGTTGCTCAAGCTACGGCCTTCTTATATGGGACATATTGAATAGATTATCTACTAACGCTTCAACATTGGCTAGACATCATTCCTAAGAACGAATTTGGAAAAATAGTAATGGAATAACTTGGCGTTCTCACACATGCCTGTTCTGGGTATCGTAGACATTCCATTTCGTTTCTATGATCCTTGTTTGTTCGGTGTCTGGCGACGCTCCAAGCGTGTCCCGTTTGTTCATTTTTTCAATCATAATTGGCATGATATATTTATCTCTAATGGCAGGCGTTTTGATAGTTACCATTAGCCCTTTAGCTCACTTCGGGCTTCACAGAGAGGAGGAGGAACATCAAAGTGACAAAAAGTCGAGAGGGGGAACAGAAGAGTGTTTCACAGATGTAAAAGAGATAGACAGACACAAAGGCATTGAAAAGGGAAGGTGGGTACCGTGGAAGGGGTCGAATGACATACAGTCAACTGTCTGTTTATAGACTTTTTTGCCGTATAAGTATACTTTGCTCAGGGTGCACCACGTGGAGGTAAGTCTATCGCGCACCCCGCATGATATATAATACTCTGTATTTTCTACAGGATCTCTGGTCTTTTGTACAATGAGTTACAGTTTTCTATCATTATAATAAATAGTCATTATGAAAGGAAGTGTCTTTTCCTTCTCTCTCTCTCCCTCTCCCTCTATAGACATTGCCGGGAGCACCACAGTTGAATGTTACCAAGGACAATGCGAGCATTGAATTTCGTGATGTCACCTTCTCCTACCAAAAGAGTGGGGATTTGCAGCGCAAACTCTGTGATAATCTCTCCTTCAAAGTAAGTGCGTATGTGTGTGTGCGTGCATGCGTACGTGCGTGCGTGCGTGCGCGTATTTTTGTAACCCCGACTTCAAATCCTTATGGCTTTATTTTTGTTATGCATCTCCGCAAAGGATAAAATCCGTGGTTTCTAATGAACAATTAGCTCTTGTTCTTTAATATGAACCTTATCGAGATAATGGAAAATGACTGTTGTCATTCTTGTGAGTCGCAATTATAATTGCTATCTCAACACATTCATAGTCCTCCAAGGAGCCTCCATCGACTTTGAACCTTTAATTACACTCTGGCATTTGAAAGGGATTTCACTCAAATTAGTGTGTGTGTGTGTGTGTATTTCTTGGTTTGAGGTGAAATAAAATCGCTTAAAGTGGCCTACAATGCCAAATACGACGGCAATTGTGGAAGTCGATTTGTCGATGAAGTAATTAACGAGGTGCTATTTGATTTTGACTGCCAGCAAAATGTTCATTTGGAGATAAGGAAGGTGTTAGCAGAAGTCGTTTTCGACTGATTCGGGAGTTTTGGTTTTAACTTGATACTTTTCCCAAAATTTTTTCTAGATTGAACCTGGCCAACGAGTAGCGATAGTGGGCTCAAGCGGTAGCGGCAAGTCGACGCTGGTTCGTCTGCTCTGCCGTTTCTACGATCCAGACGCTGGTTCCATCTTCATAGGCGGAAAGGATATTAAAAATGTGGACCTAACCAGCCTTCGTCAGGCAATGGCCATTATTCCACAAGTGAGTGCTAGGGCTTCCACGTCCGATTTTAATTGGCCATGACAAATTGACCTCATGATTTCTGACCTCGTAAACTGTGCACTTTGACCCGGTGCTTGGTAATGTATTTTGAGTTTTCCTGATTTAGAGACCTCAAAATCTTTGTTGATCAGTTACTGTGTTTGGTCATTTCCTGACACTTGGCATTCAAGTAATTGCTGTCATCGAAGGTCAACCACATTCACTAGGGTTGTTATTTAAAAGAATTATTGTAGCATATTTGAGTGCCTTCAGCAGAATAGAAGGCTACTACGCGGTGGTTTATCGAATTATGCAAGGCACATGCATTTCCAGCTTCAATTGTATATGTGCAATGGCGACTCTAGTTAAGAGTCATCTTTCGGGATTCATTGCTCCTTAGTCGTATTTCTAGGCTTTGCTAAATAGCAATTTATTACTAGTTGGTATTCAAATTCAGGAAGAGTCGAGCGGTGGTGGTAAATAGTCGGCTTTGTCTCAGATTTTTAGTTCAAAACGTAGCCACACTATCCTCCAGATTAGTGTCATTCTTCTCCCCACCCTCTCCTCCTCCCCTCGGTTCTAAACCGAATTATTGGAGCATTGTAAAACTAAGTAGTCGCGCTCATCTTCCCTAAGGGTCAAGTTCACGCCGACCGGCCCTATCTCAGGCTCAGTTTGGGAGGCGAAAACTAATGCTGATAACCCTCTTTTTTACTATTTACTGTGGTTTCTCCACCCTTTTTTCCTTTATCCTACGAAAATAGGACACAGTGCTCTTTCACAATACCATCTTCTACAATCTGAAGTATGGAAATCTCACAGCGACTGACGAAGAGGTCTACAATGCCTCCAGACTCGCTGATCTCGAGGTGGCTATTGAACGCATGCCTCTGCGCTATGAAACCCAGGTAATAATAGCATTTCTTAATCCAATTTAACAACCGTTCAAAGCATTTAATTTTTTTCGATTTTTCTCTAGGTCGGCGAGCGTGGTCTCAAGTTGTCGGGTGGGGAGAAACAACGTGTGGCAATTGCTAGAGCACTACTCAAGAAAGCTCCCATCCTTATCTACGACGAGGCCACCTCTTCACTTGACACTATCACTGAGGGCGTGAGTTGCTACTTAAATTACATAAGTAGTATATTTATTTAACTCAATTGCTGTGGGAGTACGCTCACCAGAGACTCGTTAGCAAACCAGTCTATCGAATCAGAAATTTATACGGAATATTATCTCAGAATATTTAATATTAACTCAAGATTTGTAGCTATCTCATTTCTGATGTATTTACTTCAAATGTTAGGCGTTATAATAGGTATCATTAGCCCTTTAGTTGACTTCGGGCTTCACAGAAAGGAAGAGGAATATCAATGTGACAAAAAGTCGGGAGGGGGACAGAATAATGATTCACAGACGTAAAAGAGACAAGGGGGGACAGAATAATGATTCACAGACGTAAAAGAGACAGAGCAGACACAAAGGTAGAAAAAAGGTGAGTTGAATACTGTGGAAGGGTTGGGATCAGAAGAGCGATTCACAGACGTAAAAGAGACAGACAAACAGAAAAAGGTGAGGTGAGTACTGTGAAATTTGTCAAATATGAAATGCGGTGGGGTCTTGGTAGTTTGAAGTCAGAAGTCAAGTGTCAGTTAATAGACGTTTTTGCCGTATGAGTATACGTTGCCCAGGTGTTATCGCACACCTCTCTCATCTCTGATGTAAGATTCTTGATATCATGTAATATCACTTTGTCTTGCGAAAAAAGGGCAGTTAGGCAGCGCTCACAGGAAGACGGTTTACTAAGTTTCAATCTTGGATTTTTGTTCTAGACTATCTTACGACGTCTTGCAGCGGCTACCCCCGGGGTAACTTCAATCGTTATTGCTCATCGGTTGAGCACAATTGTGGACGCTGACAGGATCATAGTGCTTCGAAATGGTCAAGTGCTAGAGGATGGTACCCACAAGAGCCTCCTTACACAACCGAATTCCTACTATGCTCAGCTCTGGTACCAACAGATGACGGCTAGAGTAGATGGCGAATAGTAGGAATGCGTTGTCAATGTAAATTTCGTATGGCCTGCACTTATTGATCATAGCCAGGGAGACTTATATACAGCCTATTTATTTAATTATTAATTTAACTTACGAAAATAAACACTATTATTGCATTTTATTGACTTATGATTGACGTGCGTCTATTAATCATTACAGAATTACTTCAGTGTAGAATAAAACGCTTGAGGTTAGTAGACTAAAAGCTATCTATTTAAGATATTATTTGCAAGGACTCGAACATTCTTGAGATTCGGCTTAAATTTGAAGGCAATTCTGGTCTTCAATCAGTCAGAAAACTGTTAGTGGGAAGGAATGGTCTCACCTGTGTTTCGGGGTCATTTCGGGTGCTTATTTTCGTAATAGAGTAATCGCGGAGAAGCATTCAAGTATGTAGGAAAGTCAGCTCAGTTTGAACAACACTTAAGAAGAGGAATGGGTCTGGGAGTTTATGAGAGTATCACGTTGTTTCTAGCTATATCCTGCAATTTACTAAATTGAGCTTCTTGTGAACAGCGTCGTCACGTTGCCTTCGTTTGGGTTGTCCGAAAGTTAGCTGATCCTTACTGACTTAACGCCTTGACCTACAACTTCAAGCACTTGCAAGGCACTCCTAGTAGACTCGATCAAACGCCTTCGCTATCGCGTTCACCTTGTTGATGGTTCGTTATCAAGGCGATTCAGAACGAAAAATATATTCCACTGTTCTTGTACCTGCGTCTCATTAGTGTGCTATTAGCTTCAAATAAAAATCTCTTTTTCTAGATGGTGGTCTGATTTTTTTACGAAATGATACCCCGCCCTCTCTTATAGTTAAGATAGAAATCCAAAACAGTGTCTCCACCTGAATGGTACCAAATATGTCGTCTTTGGAGGCCATCGTCAAGTGAACATCGACACCGCTCATAGACAAACGCCTCTCCGCGAACTGCGCTTGGAATTTCACGGAGCTAATCGCTTGATTCCATGCTGAAGGCACA